AAGGGTGTTCGGTGGGCGTAAGAATCGAAGGATGTACTCCGACAGTTCAGAAGTAGTTCATAAAACTGAAATCCAGTCAGTAACAAGAAGTCTCACGCTTGTTAGGGAATGTTCCCAATGTGTCCACCAATGTTAGAGTTTACGACTCTGCGTTGGTGTATTCCTATGAATACAAAGTTAGCAGTTAATCGTATTTAGACAATGTTACCTAAGCGAGAGAGTCAAATGCGTTGTATGTAAATACAACACATAGAGGGCGAGTATTCCTAAAAGCGTAGAGAGTCTTGAGTGTCCGTTGAGTGTCCGATGACAGCGTCACTTGATTGATCGTAACGTCAGCGTGTAGCCTTGATGGTCGATCAGAGTGAATTGATAGCACTTAGCCTTATAAATTTACTCAAGGGATGCTGCTTAGTTCGAAGAACTTAAGTCAAATCAAGTTGGGATAAAAGTAAGTATGAAACTTACTTCTTGCATTTCACCTAATTTAAATACAAGTAGAATGTAACGTAGAAGTATCTAGATCCTTCATATTCCTACTACAACGTTCCTTCGGATCGCTTACCAAACATTTACCTGACTCAAAACTGTTTGGTTCGATTTGCATTCCTAACAAAACCTGTAATCCTAACATATACAAAGCGCATGACGCGCGAATACAAGTCGTGTTTGAGCGCGTTCAAACGCACTAAGTACAATCGCAACGGAATACAACTATCTAAAGAGATAGTGCAACAGAATACAACTAAATAGAAACTAGTCAGATAATACAAAGAAGAGATGGAACATTGATGAAGTTATCTGGTGGTGAGAATGAAAGGATAACGAGACTAGTAATAATCAGAGTACCCTAACAAACATCCTCCTCCAGGGATTCTGGAAGTGGTAAAATTCCACGGGGACCATCTTGTATCATGCTGAAAAGAAACATGTCTCGGGGACTGCGTTCACGCTCCCCTCTGATTTGGAGCTTGTGTGAATTCCAAGCCAAAGTCCACTCATCCGCATCTTCTTGAATGCAGTCACTAGTGCCTACCACTTTTATGA